TGCCATTTCATATTGTGTATGTCTGTATTTTTCCTTTTCCCCCTTGATTATGTTAGCTAGTGGTGTTTCTATTTTGTTAATTTCCCCAAAACAATCATTTTTATTTATTAATTTGATTGTTTTTTCTATTTCTAACTTCATTAATTGTTTTATCTGTCATTATTTTTTTCCTTATATTTTATTTTGGTTATTTTGCTGTGCTCCATCTTGGCATTTGGAGTTTGGAGTTGATTGCTATATATTTGGTCTTTCATTTTTACTGATTAAGTGCTTAAGGCTATGAATTTCCACTTATCTCTGCTTTAAATATATCCCATAGATGTTGGGATAGTAGCAGTATTTTCATTTTTATTATTTTCTAAAGTCCTTTAATTTTGGTTTCCATTTCATCCACCCATGGTGCTCCAGTCTTTCTTCCCTCCAATCTGGGATCTGTGCTATAGCATCTAAAATGGTCCTGCTCCCTAATACCCTCAGAAATAAAAGCTCCAAACCTGAAGCTCTCCGTGGTTTGCTTATTTCTCCAACCATGATCTCTCTCAGTTATATACAGTGAGTTCTCACTTAATATCATCAATGGTTCCTGGGAGCTGCAACTTTAAGCAAAAGGACATAATGGAACCAATCTTATCATAGGCTAATTGATATAAACAAGAGTTAAGTTCCTGGTTACAAAACTACCACCAAACTTCTAAACAAAGACCTAAGATATTAATAGATATCAATATCTAATATAGTAGTGTATTTTTAGATAGTTTACTATGAGATTTTTTTTTTTAACTTTTTTTTTTTTTTTTTTGGTACATGCCCCTTAGCGGGAACCGAACCTGGGACTCTCTGGTCCACAGGCCAATGCTCCAACCACTGAGCCAAACTGGCCAGGGCAACTACTATGTGATTTTGAGCATCTATTCTAGTATAGAGATTTAGTAATTTTTATGTAGTCCTATTTCTTCTAAAATGCATACATGCATACCAACAGACAGACAGACATACACTTTCTTTTCCTTTTCAGCTCCTATTGATGTCTAATACTCCAAAAACCATCTTCAAAATGCTAGTTTAATAACATTCCACAAGGTAATTTGTGTTTATTTTAACCTATCTCTTCTAACTAGTTCCTTGGGCCAATCTGCCTACCCTCAGTTTTATCTTATTTTTTTCCAAGTTGCCAACTCTACATGTGGAGAGCTCTTTAGCGAGCATTGACAATGGAAGGAAGTCGTCTACCTTTGGACAAAACAAAGATTTAAGATTTAAGATATCCAGATACATGTGACCCCAGAAGGAACGTTAATGTAGAAACAAAACCAAGGCAGATTGTTTTGAACTAGACAACAGTTATCTTTGGCTTTCTCTGTTTCCATTTCCCCATCTCTATAATCTTAAACCCTCATTCAAAGACTCATCATCATGAAGGCTTAAGCTGCAACTCCCTCCCAGCTCTGTTCTTATTCCCAAAGTGTCCACCTGCTAAGCTACCCACCTACTCTTCATCCCATTCTTTGCAATTTCTACATAGTAATTCAAAACAAAAGCCATTTGCTTTAAGGACAAGTGTAAATCCAAGTCAGGTGGCCTTGTCTTAAGTGTTCTTATCTTCCATTGTACTTCCAGCTCAATTATTGGTAAGTCAGATGGATCTCTGGTTAAGCCACACACAAAAATCAGTCCTAAGGTGAATGTCATCTAATATTCATAAGAAGCTTTTCAATGAGAAACAATGTTCAGTAGGATTGTTTGAAGGACACAGAGTCTATTACTGTCACTATGGGGCCCTGGAACATTTGATACAGCACCTGACATACCTGTTCTTCAAACATCAGGTAGGATTATCTTCTGAAACCATATTCAATGGATATATTTGACAGGGCTTTCTCTCTTTTTTTCTGTACTAATTAATGTCAAGTCTTATAAAGACAGTTTTGTTAAATTGTATATTCTTGGAAAATGAACGTTTTTAAAAATAAATAAAGACCTAAAACACTTCTAAATTTTTCTTTTTTATCCTCACCCGAGGACATTTTTTGATTTTTTGTTCAGATAGAGTGGGAGGGAGAGAGAGAGAGAGAAACATCGACGTGAAAGGGACACATCGAGTAGTTGCCACCTGCACAACCCAACCAGGGCCGGGGACAAACTGCAACCGAGGTACATGCCCTTAGCAGGAACTGAACCCGAGTCTCTCGGGACTGCAGGCCAATGCTCTAACCGCTGAGCCAAACCGGCCAGGGCAACACTTCTAAATATTAAAGATTGAAATAAATGTGAGTTATACATACATTTAAGAAAGATAAGTAAAAACAAGTAAGATAATTATTTTCCAACCCACATATTCCAGTTCTGGGTCATGGGTGGCCAGAGTCTACCAAGGCAGCTCAGAGTGCAAAGCAGGAACCAGCCCTGGACAGAGCGCCTTTCCGTCACAGGGTGCATCTCACACACACATCCATACTCACTCCAACGGGAACAATTTAGACATGTCAGTTCACCTCATGTGCAGATCTTTTAGATAATGGAGGAAAGGAGTACCCAGAGAAACTACATGCAGACATGGGGAGAATATGCATGTATAGCATATACATAAATGAACTCAAAATGAAATAAAAACCTAAATGTTAAGACGTAAAATGATAAAACTTCTAAAGCAAACGTAAAAAGCTCATGAAATTGAGTTTGCATTGACTTGTTGGATATTACACCAGAAGTATAGGCAGCAAAAGCAAAAATAGATGAACTACATTAAACTTAAAAACTTTTGTTTATTAGAGGACACAATTGAGTGAAAAGGCAACCTACAGAATGGGGGAAATTTTTGAAAATTAAATATCTTAGGGTCAGATTTTTTTTTTTTTTTTGGTACATGCCCTTAGCGGGAACCAAACCCAGGACTCTCTGGTCCGCAGGCCAATGCTCCAACCTGAGCCAAACCGGCCAGGGCTGAAAATTATATATCTTATAAGAGTTTAATATTCAGAACATATAGAGAATTCCTACAACGAAACAACCCAGTTTAAAAATGGGCAAAGGACTTGCATATACGTTTCTCTAAAGAAGATATATAAATGGTCAACAAACATGAGATGTTCAATATCACTAATCATTAGAGAAATGCAAATTATAGTGCAGTGAAATATCTCATACTCATTAGGATGGCTATCAAAAACATGGAAAATAACAAGTGGTTTGGTGAGGATGTGAAATGATCCCACTGGTAGGTATATATCCAACAGAATTGAAAGCAGGTTCTCAAAGAGATATGTGCATGTCTATGTTCATTACAGAATTATTCACAGTAGTCAAGATGCCAAGATGTGGAAACAGCCCAAATGTATTTAATTTGAATGGATCTATTTTGAATGGCATTTTTTAAATTTTTATTTTATTTTTTATCCTCACCCGAGGACATTTTTCCATTTTTCATTCAGATAGAGTGGGAGGGAGAGAGAGGAAGAGAGAGAGAGAGGGAGGGAGAGAGAGAGAGAGAGAGAGAGAGAGAGAGAGAGAGAGAGAGAGAGAAATATTGACGTGAAAGGGAAACATCGAGTGGCTGCTACCCGCACGACCAACCAGGGCCGGGGACAAACTGCAACCGAGGTACATGCCCTTAGTGGGAACTGAACCCGGGTCTCTCTCTACCACAGGCCGCTGCTCCAACCGCTGAACCAAACCGGCCAGGGCTATTTTTTTTAAAACTTACATTTACAAATGATCATTGTTAGCATATCAAAACAACTGATTTTGACCCTTTTATCCTTATATAATGTCCTTCTTTGTCCCTTTTAATGGTTTTTGACTTACAGTCTATTTTATCTGCTATAAGTATAGCCCTCCTCTTTTGGTTACTATTTATGTTGATGTCACAAATACATCTTTACATACTGTATACCCATTAACATAGGTTTATAGTCATATCTGCACTCCCATGTTCATTGCAGCATTATTCACAGTAGCTAAAATACTAAAACAGTCTAAATGTCTGTCAGTGGACAAATGGATAAAGAAAAGGTGTTATGTATAAATATATGTGTATATACATACCATTTTCAGCAACCTGGAGAACATTATGCTAAGTTAAATAAGCAAGAGACAAAGGCAAATCTTATGTGTTCTCACTTATATGTAGAATCTAAAATTGTCAAACTAATAGAAGCAGAGAGTAGAATGGTGGTTGCTAGGAGTGGGTTGGTGGAAGAGAAAATGAGGAAGTGTTGGTCAAAGGTTCCAAAATTTCAGGATGAGTTCTGGAGAGCTAATTTACCACAGGGTGACTATAATTGTAGTCTACAATACTGGGCTACAATACTAGCCCAGCCAGAGTTGCTCAGTGGATTGAGCGTTGTCCTATGGACTGAGAAGTTCTGGTTTGATTCCCAGTCAGGGCACTGGCCCCGGGTTAGGGGCTAGATCCCTGGTGAAGGATGTGCGGGAAGAAGCCAATCAATGTTTCTCTCTCACATTGATGTTTCCATCTCTCTCTTCCTTCACCCCTCTCTAAAAAAATCAATAAAAACATTTAAAAAATACTATATTATATACTTGAAATTTGCTAAGAAAGTAAATCTTTTTTTTTTTATCTTCACCTAAGGACATATTTCCATTTTTTGTTCAGATAGAGTGGGAGGGAGAGAGAGGAAGAGAGAAAGGGACACATCCAGTGTCTGCCACCCACACGACCAACCAGGGCCGGGAACAAACTGCAACCGAGGCACGCACCCTTAGCAGGAATCGATTCCTGGTCTCTCTGGACCCACAGGCCGTCGCTCTAACCACTGAGCCAAACCGGCCAGAGCAAGAAAGTAAATTTTAAGTGTTCTCCACACAATAATGTAACTGAGGTGATGAATATCTTAATTAGCTTTAGTGTGGTAATCATTTCACAATGTATATGTCAAAATATCAATTTGTAAACCTTACATATATATCATTCCTATTTGTCAATTATACCTCAATAAAGCTAGAAACAAACAAAAAACTGACTTGAATTGATTGTTTTGCAGGTATGAGAGAATTGAAATCCCAATCCATATTGTACCTCATGTAACCATTGGGAAAGTGTGCCTTGAATCAGCAGTTGAGCTGCCCAAGATCCTGTGCCAAGAGGAACAGGATGCATATAGGAGGATCCACAGGTAGAAGAAACCTTCCTCGCTCCTCCTCTTCACTTCTAGGGCCCAGTCCCTATTTTCCTCTTCTGTCCTTTCATTTTAGCAGCTCAACTCTTGAGCCCCTTTCCTTTTACCTCTTTGTGAGAATGCCTTGTAGCCGTCTCCAAGCATAATGTTTCTCACACTTTATGATAACAATCTTGTTAACATTTGCTAATCTCCTGCTATACTTTGGATCCTCCAAGGGCAAAGACACTTTTGGGGTTGTAAAAAAAAATAATAAACTACAATATCTTAGCAGCCCTGATGCCAAGTACTGGGTCTTACCCAATAAATATATGCTATGTGAAGGCTTCAATGAAAGAGAGTAATTTCAAAATTATCTCTTTGAACTATATCAAAGTTCTGAATAAAGTCTCATCTCAAAAATCATGAGAAATTTAACAATAATGGGAATTTAAATTATATATATTTATCTAATGCAGATTGCAGAGGTCTGGTACAGTTTATCATTTTGTTATATAGTCTCTGACCATTTTATTTTCCCTTTGCTGCTGCTTTGTTACTAACCTAAACTATTTTATCCCTTTAGTCTTACACATCTGGACTCTGTAACCAAGATCCATAATGGCTCAGGTAAGATTTTTTTTCTTGAGTATATGCAGTGATCTCTGAAATACTCAGCTGTCAGAAGCAAATTTATTTTAAGTGATTGAAGTGATTGGTACAAGTTATCCTCAAGTTTCCTTTCCCAAAAGCTTTGCCATTCATTGATCTTGCTCCCAACTTTTCTTTTGAATGCCTTGGACCCTCAAATAATATAAATGCTACCTAGAGTAAGACTGGAGGAAAAGACAGGAACACATTTTATGATAGACCCACTCAATGGTGTTCTGGTACATATTTAATAACCAGTTCTCAGGGAGGGGGGAGGGCCCTGATTTGGTGTGTTTTCCAGTTTCCATGGTGTGTTTACCCCTCTATAGCTGATTTCAAACAACTAACATGATCTCAGTCAGATCACAGACTTTCTGAAATTTCAACAGTTGGCTCTTGTGAGCTGGTCTAAGTTGGTTCTAGCATACCACTACCAGCCTATTGTGGTGGGAGTTGAAAGAGATGGATAGACACACAGAAAGACAGATGAAAGGGAGGGCATATAGGAGGAAATTGTTTCATGCCAATAAATATAGAAGGAATTCCTATACAAGGCCAAGGAACAGCAAACGCAATACACTATACTAAATTACTTTTCCCCAACATACACAGCTACTCACCCATATTTCCTCTCTAACCCTGAACCTTAGGCCTTTCTGTGTAGTCTTCCCCAGTGGCTGACAAAGTCACCAGTGAGGAAGAAAGGAAGGCTTTTAAGTGTTACTGGTAATTACTTTGAGAGGAAACAAAGAGAGAGATGGCTTAGTGTGTCTGTCTCATTCAAAATTTCTATTTGGAGGTAAAACATGACAAAGAATTAAAAATTGGTGATATATAAAATGTAGCCATACTGTAAAGCCACAGTAATTTAAGTCAGAAGTGGATAAATCAGTAGAACTGAAGAGCTCAGAAATAGGTATATATGAACTTATATTTAAGAAAGATATGACTTCAAATCAATTTTAAAAGGATGAATTGTGCGCCCTGGCCGATTTGGCTCAGCAGTTAGCGCATTGGCCTGCGGTCCAGAGAGACCCGGGTTTGGTTCCTGCTGGGGGCACGTGCCTCGGTTGTGGTTTGTCCCTGGCCCGGTTGGGTCGTGTGGGTGGTGGCCACTTGATGTGTCCCTTTCACATAAATGTTTCCCTCTCTCTCTCTGCCTCTCTCTCCCTCCCGTTCTATCTGAACAAAGGATGAAGGAATGTCCTCAGGTGAGGATAAAAAAAAAAAAAAAGGATGAAGGATGAATTGTTCACTAAATAGTATTCGGATAGTTCATTTGTTTGTTGATTCATTCAAGAAACATTTGAGTACCTACTCCTGATAGACACTATTCTAGACACTGGGGTACAGTGCTGAACATTAGAGACAGTCTTAACCTTCATGGATTTATTTCCTTTAGGGGGAAAACTAGATTCCTATCTAATATCCTACACAAAAATAAATTCCAGCTATATTCAAACTTTTACTATTAAATATGGCACAATCACTTTCGGAAAGAGGTTAGCAAGTATAGTTACCAAATGTGCCACCAGTTCCTCTCCTAGCCATATACTCCAAAGAGTTGAAAACATACGTGTATAGGAATGTTTATAGCAGCATTATTCATAATAGCCAAAGAGGGGAAACATCCAAGTGTCTGTCAGTGGATGAATGGACAAAGAGTAATTCATCCATACAACAGAGTACTGCTCAGCAACAAAAAGTACAAACTACTAATATATGAACAACTTGGATGAAATGCAAAAGCAGTATGCCAAGTGAAAGAAGCACCACACAAAATGCTACATACTCTGTAGTTCCATTAATCTGAACTTCCAGAATAGGCAAAACTAACCTAAGGTGACAGCAAGCACAATAGTAGATTCTGGGGCCACAGGTGAAGGGGCATTGACTGCAAAGTGAACTACAGAGGGGCGTCTGGGCTGATGGAAATGGTCTATACCTTGATTAGGGGTGGTTACAAGGTGTGTGCCTTTGTCAAAACTCATTGAATTGCATACTTAGAATGGGGTCATTTTATTGGCTTGTAAAGCTTATTTTAAAAGAAAAAACATACAGGAGGAAAATATAAGTGGGTATTTTTAAAACTCTAGGGAGGTAATGGCCTAGATATAATCTGAAACCCTGAACTGGAAAAGAAAGATTGACTAAATAAGAGTTAAATAATTTTATAGACCCCTACAGAAAAATAAAATTGTTCATAATGATCTTTAAAAGAAGTATGGATTAAGATAAAATTATCAGTTTTTCACCTTTTCTTTTGGCAAAGATTTAATTGAGAGGTAATTTCATGAGGATGTGGGAAAAGTGAACGCTCCCATATACTGTTTCTGGAGGTATAATTTGGTACAATCTGGAAAGTAATGGATAATCAGTTTTAAAATATACGGGTACCTGAGTATAGCAACTCCATTTCCAGAAATGTATCCATCAGAAATTTGTAGGACAAGTGTGCAAAAACAAATTTAAAGGGGTATTAGCTGCAGTCTTTATAATAGCAAAAAAAAAAAAAAATGGTGCTGAAATGTCCATCAGTACAGGGTTTATTAAATTGGCATATCCATTCTGATGAATATTGTACAACCCTTAAGAAGGAAAGCTAGATCTTCACTGACACAGAAAGATGTCTGTTGCTTATTGTTATGTGGGGGAAAAGTAACATCCAAAATCATAGTTTTTATTTTAAAGTATACATACACACATATGTACACACACATATACATGTATCTTGGAAGATATACCCCACCATATTACAGTGGTCATTTTCAATAAGTCATATACTATTAGAGAGAAAAATATATTTCCATTAGGTGGGATTTGTTTTAAAAAGAGTGCCATCGAATCCTTGTCTCCCCATGAAACTAAACATTAATAGTAATCTCTCAGGTTTTTCCTCATTTTAAAAGAGGAGCTTTCAAATGAGTTGAATTAATATATTTGAGAAAGAATTTTCCTATTGGACTTGTGGAAAACTAAAGTGCAGAAGGCAGAGTTCTGGCTCTCTAGAAAGTTATGGTCATTTACAGTGTGGGAAGGGCTGAGGGCTGATAAAGAACCCCTTCTGTAGCTGTTAGCCTTTTTGCTTAAGGCAGTGGTTCTCAGCCTTCCTAATGCCGCGACCCTTTAATACAGTTCCTCATGTTGTGGTGACCCCCAACCATAAAATTATTTTTGTTGCTACTTCATAACTGTAATTTTGCTACTGCTATGTCTTAGGCGACCCCTATGAAAGGGTTGTTCGACCCCCAAAGATGTCGCGGCCCACAGGTTGAAAACCGCTGGCTTAAGGGGAGTAAAGAGCTGGTCATTTTCTGGTCTCTGATTAGCTAGGCTTCCCTCTGGCCTATGGATCCAGGGATGTTCAGGAATGCCTCAGAATAGGTAACTTTGCTCAGCTGTTCTGTCTTTCCTCTGGCCGCACAAAATAGTCTGCCAGTCCTACTTATTGTACTTGTTCTACTTCCTCCTCCAACCCCTTCTTTCTGTGCTCACAGTTGGGGTGTTATCTGTGTTTTTCCTTTTTAAGTGTTTACCAAGAATCTGTGCAGTCAGATGTCAGCAGTCAGTGGGCCTCTCCTTCAGTGGTTGGAGGACAGACTGGAGCAAAACCAACAGCATTTGCAGGAGTTGCAACAAGAAAAGGAAGAGCTTATGCAAGAACTTTCTTCTCTGGAATAAAGTGGGAAACAAAATGGGGTAAACAATTTTTTTTTTCAATGATCTGAAAATTCACACACCTCTTGTGTAGGCAGACAATGGAGCAGATCTTTTATTATCACAACTAATGGGTTTTATGTATGGTAAAAACAAAAGATATCTTCCTAAAACTTTCATTGGGGCTTAATGAACCTTATACCTGTAATTGGCTTCCAAAGAGTATTGCTAGATGCTTTAAGGAGGCTATGAAATATTTTTTTTAAGGCTACGGAAGGTGCATTGGCAAGGACAACCTGTAATAAAATGTCTGGGGAATATATTTTAAATGTTTATTTTTCCCCTTGTTTAACTCGGAAATATTTATTTTTGTTTTCAGATACATTCACTCCCTAGAATAATCTGAAGGAAGAAGAGTATTTAATGTTTCAGTTTTGTAGTTATGATGTTTATGTTGGACAAGTAAATAAGTACACAAAGATTATGTCTTCCTCTTTGATCTCTGAAATATGTATTCTGAGATCTCTATCAAAGTTGAATCTATGTAGGTGCCTTTCTAACTAAATAGATGAGTTCTAGCATATTTGACTCTGAAGTAAAATTGTATCAAGCAGATCCTATTTACCTAGGAATTTCATTATAATATAAATGTATTCTTCTAGAGGTATTTAGGGTTTAGGATATAATGAAAAGCCATACTTTAAAATGTTCTGTTGCATTATTCTTACCATGTGTAACCACAAATGGTAAGTGTGTCTTCAGAAAAGAGTCAGGCCTATTGCATAATAAAAATTAAAGTGGGAACTGGAGGAGGTAGAAAGAAAGTAAACAAAAAGCACCCCAATCCCAACAATGACAAAGCATTGGTTTTTGTTTTTGTTTTGTATGTCTCTTTAGATTATTGTTTTTCATGTTTCAAATTCTAGTCCAGAACCACCTGCACCAGAATCACTTGGAGGTCCAACTTATCTCTGGGGGTGGAACTCCCTAGCTGATTCTAAGGCATGCTAAAGTTTGAAAACCACTATGCTAGGGCATATGCTGTATAAATGCAGCATTTTCTCTAATTTCTCACAGTCAATGTTTTCTATTTTTTCTTTCCCTATAGGAAAAATGAAAATATCCAAGGGTAAAATTAGTTACGCTAAATCAATTTTGAAGAAAAAGTTGGAAGACTCACATTACCTGACCTCAAGACTTACTATAAAGCAAGAGTAATCAAGATGGTATGGTATATGCCCAACTGATTTTTGACAAAGGTGCAAAAGCAATTCAATGGAGGAAGGATAGTCTTTTCAATAAATGATGCTGGTGTAATTGGACACCCAAAGGCAATAAATGAACTTTGACATAAAATACACACCTTATAAAAATTAACAAAATCTATCATGGACTTAGATGTGAGATGTAAAATTATAAAACTTTTAGAAATAAAATCATAGAAAAATCTTCAGGATCTTGGGCTAAGCAACAAGTTCTCAGCCTTTACCCCCAAAGCACAATCCTAAAAGGAAAGGTTGATATATATAGGACTTCATCAAAATGAAAAACTTTTGCTTTGCAAAAAATTTAAGAAGGGAATTATTGAGAGAATTATTTACAAACCATATATCTAATTGATCTAGAAGATATAACATTAAAAACAAACAATCCAATTAGAAAATGGATAGCAAGTAAGTACACCAAAAGATATTGAACTTCATTAATCATCAGAGAATGCAAATTAAAATCACAAGAATTTGTTACTACACATTTATCAGAATGCCTAAAAACAAAAATATTGAAAATACCAGATGCTGTTGCACATACAAACTGGATCTCTCATGTATGGCTGATAGAAATGCAAAATGAAATTTTAATGAAGTTAAACATACATGTACTATATGACCCAGCAATTGAATCCCTGGACATTTATCACAGAAAAATGAAAACCTATATTGGCAAGAAAATTAGTACATAAATGTTCGTAGCATCTTTATTTGTAATAGCCCCAAACTGGAAGCAACCCAGATGCTCTGCAATTGAGTGGTTAAACCAACCATCCATAATATGGAATACTATTCTTCAATGTAAAGAAATAGACTGACACACACAACTTGGATGGACCTCAAGGGTATCATGAATGGGGGAAAAAAACAGTCTCAAAAGGTCACATACGGTATGATTGATTTATATAACATTTTTGAAATGACAAAATTATAGAAATTAAGAATGGATTAATGGTGGCCAGGCATAGGGACTGGAGGGGTATGCGATGTGTATAACTATTAAGTGATAACACAAGGAGTTCCTTTGTGCTGATGAAATAGTTCTGTATCTTGATTATGATGTTGATTAAATGAATTTATACCTGTACTAAAATTACACATACCAACAAATGAATGCATGTAAAATCTAAGTTCTGCAATCTGGTAAGGAGTATTGTACCATTGTATCATGTGAAACTGGATAAGGTCTGCAATATAGAAAAGAGTAGTGTACCATTTTCAATATGTTGATTTTGAAGTATTACTATATGTAAGATCTTACTACTGAGGAAAACTGGGTGATGGGTACATGGGACTCACTGTACTATTTGCAACTTCTTATAAGTCTATGATTATTGCAAAATAAAAAATTAAGTACTAAATAAGGTATTAGAGTTATGGTACTTATTACATGAAATAAGATAAAAGTAAAAAAAAAAAAACTAAGGGCAATAAAATGATTTGAATATTTTTACAGGCCAACCTTAAGCACACGTCCCTTTCCCTTTCTGGGCTTCATTTTCTCTTTTTGTAAGGTTAGAGTAGATGACCACCAAAGTTCCTTTTAGCTAAGTGTTTAGTCTTTTAGTGTTAAGCATCACAAGGAACAGTTATGTGAGCAAGATGTATCATTACTTCTCACCTGCACCAATCTGGTTTACACAATATATTGCATTCTACTCACAACCATGTATTCCCTTCTGGTCAGCAGATTCTGTTTTAAATCACAGCCAAGACTCTGATGGTAACAATATACACTTGTTTTTCATCTCCTATTCATTTAACTCGTTGCATTTTGACCTTTGCCCACATCACTCCATTCAAACCACTCCTGCCAAAGTCACCAATGACCTCCACATAGTGAAAGTTAATAGGTGCCTTTACTGTCCTTAGTGAATCTCTCAGTCTGATACAATTGGCCACTGCTCTTTGAAATCTACTTCTATTGGCTTCTGCTATTCTACTTTTTTTCTGATTTTTCTCTTCTCCGACTAGTTTCTTCTCCAATTCCTTCATAGGCTTCTCTGTCTTTGCTTATCTATATGCAGTTGACAAACAAATCTGTGTCTCCATCTAGACCTTTATACATTTCCACCTGCCTACTATATATTTCCACTCAGTTGTCTTATATGCACATCAGCCAACAGTTACACTAAACAAATAAGTAAACTGATTGAGGAAAGGGAGAGCTAGGTTTTTCAGTGTCAGAGAAATGATTTACAAGTGTGAAAATGGGGAAGGTAAAATGAACCTCATGGTGTTGGACTGAAATTGGAAGTATTGATATGAACTTTTCCCAAGGGAAAAAAATGGACTTGATGATTCAAGATGGTGGCAGAGTAGGTGGAAGTTACACTCACCTCCTTCCAGGACCAAACTGGAACTACAACTAAAATATAGAACAATAAACTTGAATAACCTACTGACTAACTGAACAGAAGTCTTATAACCAAGGATTTATAGAAGCCATATCGAGACTGGTAGGAAGGGTGGAGATGCAAAAAGGCTGGCCCTGCACCCACATGCAGTGGCTGAGAATCTGGAGGAATATCCCAGCTGCAAAGGTCCTTCCTGAGGAGCAGGAGTCTTAACCTCATGCCAGGTTCCCCACCCCATAGTACCAGAGCCACTAAAAGGAGACCACATAACATCCAGCTGTGAAAATCATCAGGGATTCTGTCTGCCAGGAAAAGATGAGAGTCTGTTAGAAACCCAGGTGTCCTCTTAAAGGGCCAGTGCACACGATCTCATTCACAGGCACTTGCCCTAGGCTCCAGGAGAGATGGTGGCTGGAGCAGACTGGAGTCCTGTGAGGAGAGGGGTTGTGTGGCTAAAGGGAGAGAGCTGAAGAGACAGCTGACAGAGTCTCTGTGCTGAGTCCCTCTCCCACACCACCTACAGATGCCTATATTTCTTGGGTCAAAAACTCCCCTGCATATAGCATTAGCCTGGGGGAATACACTACCTTCACACTCCAGATCCTGTTGCCCCACCCTGTGGAGCTCTCACACTGCAGAGGAGTCAGTTGCTTGACTCCGAGGTGTAGAAGTCCAGGCAGACTTGAGGTGTCAGAGAATGAGTGGTGTGGCACTGGGACAGGGGTCATTCTCCCACCTTCCTGAAAGCCAGACACCCATTGCCCCCCATATCCCAGGAGATCCACTAGCCCCATCCTCCTAAATCCCGGGGGCCCTGTCCTGCTGAGCTCAGGGTCTCCAGGAGAGACTGATCTGTATGGCTCTGGGGAAGGAGCCATTACCCTCTTTCATGTGAGCCTGACCTCCTTCACCCCCCTTGGGAGATCCACTAGCCCAAGTTGCTGGGGGCCCTACACTGCTGAGCTCAGGCTCTCAAGGAGGTCCAGGCAGAATCCAAGAGAGAAAGTTGTGTAGCTCTAAGGCAGGGGTCATCTTTCCCTCACATGCCTGACTGAAACTACCATGACTCTGCAGAGTCCTCCCTTCATATGGTCAAATCTTTGTCTGTTTGGAACCGATGAACTCCGCTGGCCTCACCGTGCTGACTCCCTTAGACCCTGCCCCACCAAAAAGGTCTGTGTGTACCTGGTGGGTGGCAGCTGACCTTAGTATAGCTGGGGATTTTTGCTGAGTGGCGTCAGACCCAGCATTGGCAATTAGTTTGAATCTGTATCAATCTGGTGAACACCACTTACCCCTACTTGGTGACTCATGAGAACCTACCTTGTGCAACTCGTGTACTACCAGAGGCCCTTTCAGTGACTCAGCTGAACAGGCAGTTGGCAGGCGGACACAGGTGAAGATGGATCTCAGGGTGCCTGGGGCCTTTTGCTGACCTGCCCCTAGGCTCAGTGCCAATGCAAGCCAGCCTTTGTGCTCAGCTTGGCTTCCCACTCACATCCAGGCCCAGCAGAGGCAGCCACAAACTGTGCATAGCTCTGTAGCTCCAGACAGGTAGCCAGTGTCTGACATTGACCTGCACCAGAGTGCCCCCCAAGAAGCCCCAGAACCAACACAACAAGAAGAAACAGAAAATCTGAATAGACTGATTATAACTAATGAAATTGAAATATTAATTAAAAAAACTTCCAACAAACAAAAGTCTTGGACTGGATGGCTTCACAGCTACTTTTTACCAAACAGTCAAAGAACTAACATCTATCCTTGTCACACTATTCTAAAAAAATCAAGATGAGGGAAGACTCCCAATCTCATTTTATGAGGAAAGAAATTACAAAAAAAAACTATAGGCCAGTATCACTGATGAACATAGATGTTAAAATCCTCAACAAAATATGAGCATACTGAATCTAGCAATACATTTAAAAAACCATACACTATGATCAAGTAGAATTTTTTCCCCAGGATACAATTTTGGTACAATACTCCTAAATCAATTAACATGATACGTCACATAAACAAATGAAGGATAAAAATCCTATGATCGGATCATATTAATTGGTACAGAAGAAGCACTTGATAAAATCCAGCACCCATTATAACAAAAACACTCAGCAAAGTGGGAACAGAAGAAACACATCTAAAGTCCATATATTACAAACCCACAGCTAACATCATATTCAATGGGGAAAACTAAAAGCATTTCCCTAAAGATCAGGAACAAGACAGGGATGCTCACTTTCACCACTCTTATTCACCATAGTACTGGAAGTCCTAACTACAACAATGAGAAAGAAGAAATAAAAAGCATCCAAATTGGAAAGGAAGAAGTAAAACTGTTATTATTTGCAGATGACATGATACTGTATATAGTGAATTCTAAAGATTCCACCAAAAAACTACTAGAACTGATAAATAAATTCAGTAAAGCAGCAGGATACAAAATAAATATCCAGAAATTGGTTGCATTTTTAAACACCAATAATGAACTATCAGAGGGAAACTAAGAAAATAATCCTATTCACAATGGCTTAAAAAAAAGAATACCTAGGAATAAATTTAACCAAGGAGATAAAAGACCTGTCCTTGAAAATTTATTATTATTTAAAATATGTTTTTATTGATTTTAGAGAGAGAAGGAGGGAGACGGAGAGAGAGAAACATGGATCGGCTGCCTCCTACATGCCCCCCACTGGGGATCAAGTCCACAACCTGGGCATGTGCCCTGACTGGGAATCGAACCAGCGATCTCTTGGTTCATAGGACAGTGCTCAACCAACTGGCCAGGGCTGTACTCAGAAAATTGTAAGTATCTGAAAAAAGAAACTGAAGAAGATACAAATAAATGGAAGCATATGCTGTGCTCATAAATAGAAAGAATTAACAATGTTAAAATGTCTGTACTACCCAAAGCAATCTATAAATTCGATGCAATTCCACCCTGGCTGGTTTGGCCCAGCAGTTAGAGCGTTGGCCTGCGGTTCAGAGAGACCTGGGTTCGGTTCCTGCTAAGGGCACGTACCTCGGTTGCAGTTTGTCCCCGGCCCTGGTTGGGTTGTGTGGGTGGCAACCACTCGATGTGTCCCTTTCATGTTGATGTTTCTCTCTCTCTCTCTCTTCCTCCTACTCTATCTGAACAAAATATGGAAAAATGTCTTTGGGTGAGGATTAAAAAAAAAAATTCGATGCAATTCCTATCAAAATACCAATGATGCATTTCACAGAACTAGAACAAATGATCCAAAAATTTATATGGAACCACAAAAGACCCTAAAGAGCCACAGCAATCTTGAGAAAGAACAAAGTTGGAACAATCATGCTACCTGATATCAAACTATACTATAAGACCATAGTAATCAAAACAGCATGATACTGGCACAAAAACAGACATATGGATTAAGGGAACAGAATGGAGAACACAGAAATAAACCCATGCCTATATGGTCAATTAATATTTGACAAAGGATGCAAGAACATACAATGTGGTCAAGGCAGTCTATTCAAGTAAATGGTGTTGGAAAATTGGACAGATACATGAAAAAAGTGAAATTAGACCAACTTATATACAAAAATAAACTCAAAATGGATGAAAGACTTAAATATAAGACTTGAAATCATGAAACTCCTAGAAGAAAACAGGCAGTAAAATATCTGACATTACCCTCAGCAATATTCTTTATGATATATCTCCTTGGGCAAGGGAAACAAGAAAAATAAACAAATGGAATTGCATCAAACTAAAATTGCATCAATTTTCCAACACCATTTGCACAAAAGAAAACCATCAACAAAATGAAAAGACAACCTACTGAATGGGAGGACATATTCACCAATGATACATCTAATAAGGAATTAATATCCAAATTCATAAAGAACTCATACAACTCAGCACCAAAAAAAAAAAACAAGCAATCCAATGAATAAATGGTCAAAAGGATCTAAATAGACCCTCACAAAGAGGACATAGAGAAGGCCAACAGACATGAAAAGATGCTCAATGTCACCAATCATCAGAGAAATGAAAATGAAAACCACAATAAAATATCACCTCATACTTGTCAGGTGATACTTATCTTCAATAAATCCATAAATGTCAAGTGTTGTCAAGGATGTAGAGAAAAGGGAATCCTTGTGCACTGTTGGTGGGAATGCAGACTGGTGCAGCTACTATGGAAAAAAGTATGGAGTTTCCTCAAAAAGTTAAAAATGGAACTGCCTTGTTACCTAGCAATTCCACTTCTGGGTATATCCAAAAAAAACCAAAACACTAATTCGAAAGAATAAATGCACCCCTATGTTCATTGCGGCATCATTTACAATTGCCAAAATATGGAAGCCACCGAAGAGCCCATCAATAGATGAGTGGATAAAAATGTGGTGGTACATATATCCAATGGAATGTTACTCAGCCATAAAAAAGCATGAAATCTTACCCTTTGCGATAGAATGGATGGACCAAGGGAGTATTATGTTTAGAAAAATAAGCCAGTCAGAGAAAAACAAATACCATATGATTTCACTTATATGTGGAATCCAAAGAACAAAATAATCAAACAAAAAATTGGAACAGACTCATAGACACAGAGGGTGGTCTGTTGGTTGCCGGAGGGGAGGGGAGTTGGGGAACTGGGAGAGAGAGGTGAAGGAATTAAGAAGTACAAAGCGGTAGTTACAAATATTCATGGGGATTTAAAGTAAAGCATAGGGAATATTGTCAGTAATATTGCAATAACTGTGTATGGTGCCATGTGGATACTGGAAATATTGAGGGAAAAACTATGTAAATTGTATGATTGTCTAACCACTGATGTATACACCTGAAACCAATACAAAATAACATTGCAAGTAAACTAATTGAAAAATAAAAATAATAAAATGAATTATACATATATTTCTGAACACATACGTTTGATGTTCAAACCAGGATAGGCCTAACTTTGACTGTATAAGAAGGTGAATTGAACACTTCAACACAATCATGTATGGATGAAAAATTTACACTTCTAATGTACAACATACAGAATTTAAAGATCATCATTATATTTAGAATTTGCAATTTCGTATATATGCTGGCAAAGTATATAAAACTAGAAATTTTCAAGAAAATTTCACTCAGAACATTTACCTTGACAGAGCATATTTTGTGTCATAAAATAATTCAACAAATAATATATTGAAATCATAAGAAATATCTTCTTTGCAACAAAAGCAGTACTTATTAAAAGACAAGAATCTTAAGTAAGCTAACCTACCTTAAGAAACCTGAAAATAAAGAGTAAAAGAAAGTGAAAGCAAGTAGAAGGTAGGGAATAATAAAGTTAAGAATAGAAATCAATAGAATATTGAACAAACCATAGAGAAAATCAATGACACCTAAAAGTGGTTCTTTGAGAAGATCAATAAAATTGATAACTCTTTGGTCAGACCTATAAAAATAAAAATGAGAGACAACTTATACTTTACGAATATCAAGAACAACAGAAGTAACATCACTACAGATTACACAGACATTAAAAGGATAATAAAGGAATACTATTTTTTAATTCTAATAATATTTTTTATTTAACCAAATATATTAAAAATGTTAATATCCCAACATGTAATCAACATTAAAAGATTATTAATGAGATGGATTACCTTCTTTTTTTCCTACTAAGTCTTTGAAATGCAGTGTGTATTTTATACTTAAAGTACATCTCAGTGTGGGTGAGCCACATGTGCTAGTGGCGCTGGACTGTGCGGCTCCAGGTAGTAAGACATGGAGAGAAAGGGAGCTTTTAGGCAATTAATGAACCAAATGTACTGCTTATGCTCAGTCAATGGAGTAGGTGCTAGGTAATAAGATGGGCTTATGAAGCACCTGCAAGTTCAATGTTGGTCTTTTAATTATTTTATTTATTTTTATTTTTTATAGAAACATCAATGAGAGAGAACATCGATTGGCTGCCTCCTGCATGCCCCACACTGGGGATTGGGCACACAACCTGGGCATGTGCCCTGACTGGGAATTGAACCGGCAACCTCTTGGAGCATGGGTGGATGCTCAACCACTGAGCCACACCGGCCGGGCTAAGCTTGTTTCTTGTTTCTTTTTTCTTATTTTATTTTATTTTTATTTTTGTTACAGATATTTCTCCTTTTTTACCCCATTGACACCCTCCTCCCCATCCCCCCTGCCCCGTCCCTGGCTTTGTTGTCCATATCCATTGGTTATGCATAAATGCATATAAGTTCTGTGGCTTATCTCTTCCCTCCCCCCAACATCCCCTCTTCTGAGGGTTGTCAGTCTGTACCCTACTTCCATGTCTCTGGGTCTACCCTATTAAAGGAATACTATTAAACGAAGTGTATGGACTCTATATCTGATGCTGAATGAAGAGTAGGAGGACATCACCTCAGGCAGGATAATCTGTGTCCGAATCCACCCTAACAAAGGATTCCCAAAGTACCACCAAAAAAACCACTTCCCAAGAACTGAAGATATCCAGACTTTTCATCTGGAGCCCCCAAAATGTCCCCCTTCCTCATACTATTCATTCAATGGTGGTTGTTTATTTTGTTTTGAGTGTCTACTATGCAAAGGGTCTACCTTCGTCCCTCTGGAAATGCCCCACCCTAAGACTGATCCTGTCTTCGGAACTTGTTCTGGGACCCACGGCCATCTTTCCTAGCTTTCTTGCAGAAAAATTTCCCGTGCCTCACACTTTAATATCCCAACTCATAATGTTGTAGGTCTGCCTCAGGATCCGTGAAAAGGTCATCCAGTGCAAGCTACCAGCAGGGCCCGGCCTTTCTTCCGTCACCTCAGGCGCCTGGTCCGTCGCCAGGGGGTGTGGTCTGTTGCTTAGTCCTCTGGGCCGGAAGGGGAGGAGCCAGACTCCCGCAGCCATCGCCCTCGTGGCTGGTGGTCTACGACGCACACATGGGGTCATCTGTGTCCAAGGCTGCCCTCGAAGCGACCACGGATGAGCTCATGGAACCAGACCCGAAACATCTAGCTGGTGAGTAGAAGTCTACTAAGGGTGGCTCACATGACTAAGTGTGCTCTTAGTGCTTCTACAGGCTGCACCCCATTTCCTACCCCCTCTCTGTACTGCTTGCTGATGCAGGACTGGTGAGATTGAATTCTCACTTCTAGTAATCTTTGATTGAGCCTCAAAGAGAACCACTGAACTTTTTAACTCCAAACTATAAGTTATTCAAATAACTTAGGACACAAGACGTGGTGGAATGACAACCCTGGCTTCCGAGAAAGTTCTCAATGCCAAAGTCCACCCCAGGCTCCATAACATTCTTAGTCTTCTGAAGTAAGGGAAGGAAAAGTTTATCAAGCAGATCTTCCCATAGGCAATCCTACCTTAAGGTCCATGAATAGCTTTAGAGTGTCCATGGCAACCTTTTTTGTGTTCCTGTGTATGTTTCCAGGGGAAAGAATTTTGATTGTTGTTTTTTTTTTTAAATATGTTTTTATTGATTTTATAGAGAGGGGAAGGGCGAGGGAGAAGGAGATAGAAACATCTATGAGACTAATCGGTTGGTTGCCTCCTGCACGCACACCACTGGTTATCGAGCCCACGACCCCTGGGCTCGGTCAAACTGCATACCTCTTGGTACAAGGGATGACGCTCAACCAACTAAGCCACACCTCCGAGCATAATTGATTCTTAAAGTTGTTTTTTGCTCAAAGAAAATAGATTCCTAGGATCTTCCCACTCCCTATTGTTTGAGTTCATTGTGAGCAGGGACTTTATAAATAATATGTGCTATTGGCAATACACATAAATCTTACTGCTATTAAAACCTTCATAGCTGACACATTCTTTTCTTCACCTCTTATTTTGGTAGTTTTCTTTAAAACTCCATTGACTTAATATGTATTTGTCTTCTGAAATTTTATCTTCTTATCATCATGACAATGTGCATGTATTATAACAACTAACAGTTCACTAAGTTAAACAGATCTTCTTTATAGATATATATTTTTTTGTTTTGTTTTTATCCTCACCCGAGGACATTTTTCCATTTTTTGTACAGACAGAGTGGGAGGGAGAGAGAGGAAGGGAGAGAGAGTGAGAAACATCAACGTGAAGGGACACATCGAGTGGCTGCCACCCGCACGACCAACCAGGGCCGGGGACAAACTGCAACCGAAGTACGCGCCCTCAGCGGGAACCGAACCCGGGTCTCTCCGGACCACAGGCCGACGCTCTAACCGCTGAGCCAAACTGGCCAGGGCTAGATATATTTTTTTTGCTGAACATTATTCTGGGCAGGCTCCGTGCTAGATTCTGGCACAATATATATTATCTAGCCCTGGATATTAATGTAATATGTGTCAGAATTGGCTTCTCAAGACTTAAAAGATAAGCAGTAGTTATCTATGTGAAAAATGCATGCAATCAAAGGGGGACACTTGAGTCAGTACCATAATTTTCTGTTTTCCGTATACACTTGTTGAATAAATGAATCTGGGTATGCAGTTTGGGTCAGCCTATTGCTCCAATCCAGTGGCATATTTGTTAAGGACTCTCCTCAGGACCTATCCTGCATGTGAAGATGCTGATTAATGAATAAGTGCTCGGGAAGAAGTTTTATAACAATTTATAGTTTTGAAAGCAAAAAAGATTTTGAGTTGATAAACAACAGGGAATCACTACATATTCTTGAATTGGAAAATGAAATGATGAATGTCATGTAACATATGTCATTACAAACTGTAATACTTGTAATGAAGGAAATTTTTTTTGATTATTCCCTTTGTGATTTCTCCAAGATTTGATTGCATCTGTATTTAAATAGCTTTTGAGGGGCCTTATGAAATAAACTGACGAATGGTTATAATCCTGAGGCAAGAAATTGGGAAGCTACTGCAATAAACTAAGGGCAAGGCTATGGGGAAGTGGACTCGAGAAGAAGCAATAAGGGGTTAAAGGATGCAAATAAAATGGTCAGATGTAGGGTGACACTACAAAGAAAGCTCCTGACTGAACCTTCATGGCATGGCACTTACTTTGAGAGAGGTAGTATAACATAATGATTGATATCTTGGTGTACAAGGTCAAACAAATCTGATTTCAAAGCTCAGTCCTGCCACTTAACTACTTGTATGTCCTTGGGTATGTTATTTACCTTCTTGAGTCCCATTCACTTAACAAGTATATACCATAACCTATTATGTGCCAACTACTGTGCTGGGTCTTGGGGAGATAATGGTGATTAAAATGGACACAGTTCCTACCCTCATCAAGTGCACGGAACAATAGGGTAGATGACATTAAATGTCATGTAACATATGTTATTACAAACTTGTAATGAAGGAAATGTTTTGGATTATTGGCTTTGTTATTTCTCTGAGATTTGATTGCATCTGTATTTGAATTGAAGTTAATAATTTTGGTTTTGAAAATTTTTTCTCAGTCTGCATTTTAATGCTTCTTACTGTCTCTAATTTAGATCTAATTCAGTACATAAATGGAACAAATATGAGTGTTAAGCGCCTAGCTGATGTTCTTTCTGAGAAAACTAGGAACAGCAGCTGGGTGGTGGTGTTCAAAGCCCTGGTTACGGTGCATCACCTTATGGTGCATGGCAATGAGGTAAGCATGGCATGTATACAAATGGTAATAATCATTTCCAACTGCAAAAATGTTCTTGGTTTGGCAAAGGCGTACCACCTTTTACTTTTAATTATGACAAGTTAGGGGAAGCAATAGTGAGTATTAAAAAACTGATTTTTTTTTCATTTTTGCATATGAATATATCTTTGTAATTAGTATTTGAGGTACAGACTATTTTAGCCACTAAGTAATAAAGTGGACAATACATTGGATATTTCACTCAATTCTTTAGATGATTTAGACCAAAAAGAGAAAGCCCTCAGAAATGTGTTGCTACACGCCCTAGCCAGTTTGGCTTATCGATTAGAGCATTAGCCTACGGACCACAGAATCTTGGGTTTGATTCCTGTCAGGGGCGCATACCTTGGTTGCATTTCGATCCCCGGCCCTGGTTGGGGTCCTGCAGGAGGCAACCAATCTATGTGTCTCTCTCACATTGATGTTTTTCTCTCTCTTTCTCCCTCCCCCACTCCTTCCCTTCCACTCTACCTCCCACTGTATCTGAAAATCAATGGAAAGATATCCTTGGGTGAGAATTTTTAAAATGCATTGCTACATAACTGCTTTACTTTACCAGTAGAAATTAGATACCTGAGCCTCGGGTGAGAATTTAAAAAATGTATTGCTACATAACTGCTTTACTTTACCAGGAAAAACTAGATACCTGAGTGTATTACATCATTACCTGTCTAACTCTCCCCACATACAAACACTCTTTGTATTTTATAGAACAACTGAAATATTCTCTAACATTAAATTATTATTTTCTACTTCAAATCAACATTTTATCTCAGTAAGCTTTGCATTAAAAATTAGGATTTAGAGATTTCCTGGATTTTGAAACTCATTATAAAACAACAGTAATTCCATAGTATGGTATTGGTGAAAATAGAACATTTACTTAAGTGGAAAACAGTGGAGAACTCAAAGTAGAACTGTACTTATATGGGAACTTGGTGGCACTAAAAACTGGGGGAAAATTATGGAATTTAAAATAAAGCCTTTTGGTACAAGTAACATCCCTATGGAAAAAATAGAATGAGATCTTTATCTCCATCTGTATACAAAAATAAATTCCACATGAATGAAATAGCTATAAATGCAAAAGCCTAAATGTTAAAATGGAAGAAAATATAGGAGAATATGCTTATGACGTTTTAGTAGGGAAGATACCATAAAGTTGGAATAAGATTTTATATATTACAGACAAAAGATTAATATTGAGAATACATTATCCATAAGAAAAGGGCAGTACAATGTAATAATGAACAAAAGAAATGAATAGAGCCCTGGCCGGTTTGGCTCAGCAGTTGGAGCGTTGGCCTGTGGACCAGAGAGTCCCAGGTTTGGTTCCCGCTAGGGGCACGTGCCAAAAAAAAAAAAAAAAAAAAAAAAAGAAATGAATAGAGAATTTATAGAAAAGGAAACCAGAATGGCTGGTAACCATCAGAGAACATGCTCAGATAAGCAAAATTCAAAATGCATGGCAGTATCAAGAGTTGCAAAAACCTTGAAGAAATGGTAACTGACATACTGTTGGATGACATGCAAATATTAGTTGCTACAGTTTATCACTGTCAAAGGAAAACATTGAGACATGTTTAGTAAAACTGAAATTGCCCAGCCCAGTAACCCAGCAAATCCACTACTCATAGCATATTTACAATATTAAAAAAGTAGAAATCATCTAAATATACATCATTAGGGAACAGATAACTATAATGAGGTGTGTTTATACAAAGAAATACTATATTCCATTAAATGCGATGTATACCAACAAGGCTAGATCTCAAAAAACAATGTTAATAGAAGAAGCAAGTTGCAAAATGGTAGAATATAATATAATTTATATAAATTTTAAAATGTACTTAATATTTTTCCATGGAACAAATATACATGAAGCTACAAAGAATATAGACTAAAGATAGCACATTAAAATTATGATACAAGTACCTTCCAGGTAGGAGAAGGAAATGGAACTTAGGGATGGGGCTACGGGCATTTTTAACTTTATCTGTATATTTTAATCCTCTTATTTTAAAAATAGACTTGAAGCAGGTATGTCAAAAAGTAAGCTGTTTTTATTTCCGGGTTGTGGGGTAGGGTACACAGATGTATATATATATTTTTATTTTTCTGTAATTAAATTATTAAGTAATTTACTATTAATTAAAGTAATTCTGTAATTCATGAAATGTTATAAAAATAAAAAATGGGGAATGGCTAGATAGAAAGTCTTGGGGGGAAAAGGTGTATATGCACATGAGCTGTAATGTTTAAGCCCTTATTTATTTGGGAGGTTTATAAACAGAGGACAACACTGCAGGTCCTTATACTGTGTAGCCCAGGATACAATTGTGCTCACCTTAGTCAGTGCTCATGAAGTGCATAGAAACTCTATGATAGAATTATTTTAAGATTTTATCCACAATGACAGAATCATCAATGAACTCTACTTGTGAACAAACTAATTTTTTTATTTGGCACATTTCTTTGGCAGCGTTTTATCCAACATCTTGCATCTAGAAACTCTTTGTTCACTTTACACAACTTCCTGGATAAAAGTGTCGTAGAAGGTAAGAAAATTCTTTGATGGAAATATTTCTGTGTGGCAGGGAGGGAAAAGTTCTGAAAACCGTGCCTGGTTTAAAAAAAAAAGGTTCCAAATTACAAATGGTGTGGTGTGTTGTACATGCTTTGATGGTAGATAATTTCTAAATTCATTGATATAACACATTGGAACACTTACAAAGGATAACAGAATATGCTATGTGCTAAAGACAGAGGAAACTAAACTCTCCAGGTATTTACTCAGTAAGGCCTTCATTGTTCAGTCTACCAGAAATTGTGGCACAACCTTATGTCCCTTCTCCACCTGAGTTTTCTTCTTTTCACTTTTCTCTGACTAACCATCTCTGAGTTTTTCTTTGCTTTTTTTGGTTTTGCTTGTCTGTCAGTCCTCCATTGGAATGTAAGCTCCATAAGAGTAGGGATTTTTGTCTATTTTGTTCACTGCTGAACTTCCAGTATCTGGAACAGTGCCTGGCTCAGTAAGCACTCAACAATTATTGAATGAATAAATAAATTGAATAAATGAATCAAGATATGTTTAGAAGTTGAGTAGTGAGGAGTTGAGTTTCTATCATGGCCTTCTTTACCCTCTATTTTGCCTATGAAGTAGGGGACAAGGTCATTTCCTTCATGGAGGGAGGGTCAGGGAGGAATGAGTACAATGAGATGGGGAGTTTTAGGAAAATGCTAAGAATTTACAATAGTTTTAATGGAGATATGAAAGAAATTGATAAAGTTTAATTATTTCCTATGTTCAGGAATGTCACCATCAATGCCACATCCTGAGGTGCTATTAAGGCTTTGAGGAAATAAAAATAATCTTTAGAAAGTTTAAGGAATATTGGACTAAATGATTAAGGCCATTCTAGCTTTTGTACTCCAAAGATATTGTTGAGGTATACGGGTGAATGTGGAATGCTAAGTCTTTGCATTTATTGACATATATTGCAAATGGTTAATATTGGTTAAATTAGAAATAATTAAAATATTTCATTTTTAGGCTATGCTATGTCAACCTTCATCAGACGATATAGCAGGTACTTGAATGAAAAGTCACTCGCATATAGACTGATCACATCTGACATCACCAAAACCAAGAGAGGGTCAGTAAATATGTTTGTAAAAAACATAGCTGTATTTCAAGATGTTGATGTCATAGTGCTTCTCAAACTCTTAATTATTAATGTTATGAATTTCTTTGCTCTTTTATAGGATGGATGGTATGATGAGAACTATGAATACTAAAGACCTACTAAACACACTTCCAGTTATTCAAACTCAGTTTGATGCTCTTCTTAATTTTAATGTAAGAGCTTTATAAATCCTTTTTCAAAATATTGGTAAATGCCATTAACTATATAGGTGGGGTAAGAATTTTTTTAAACTGTGATGATAACTGATTATTTTTTTACTTAATTTTTAGGCAAGTGCCAATGAACTAACTAATGGTATAATGCATGCTGCTTTCATGCTCCTGTTTAAGGATTCTCTTCGCCTCTTTGCTGCCTGTAATGAGGGAATACTTAATCTGCTAGGTAGGCTAAAGAATAAACATTATATACTTTAAAACGATGGTAGGAACAATATATTTTTTAACTTTTGTGTGCTTTAAAAAATTATCTTTATTATTGAAAGTATTACAGATGTTTCCTCCTTTTTCCCCCCGCTCCCCCACCTTCACTGCACTATTGTCTGTGTCCATGGGTTATATATATATGCTTATAAATATTGTAATAAATTTATTGGGGTGACTTTGGTTAATAGGATCATATAGGTTTTAGGTGTGGATTTCTGTGTTACAGGATCTGTATATTACACTGTGTGCCCACCACCCAAAGTCAAATAATCTGTCATCATATGTTAAGTCTCCCCCCCCCACCCCCTCTACCCCCCATTTAGACTCATATTTGTTTTAGAATCAAAATAGAAGATATTTTCAGGGTCATATATATTTTAAATAATGAGACATTATGTTGCCTTTTTGGTTAAAAATTTATTTAATTAGCCACAGAACTTTTCAGTTTTTATATAAGTGTTGACTGACATTTTTGGGAAATTTACCAGGGAATCAACATGGGTTGCCATATTTATGCATTACTCATTAAGGTCCACTCCACCAAAGTCAAAAACACGGTTCTGAATTTCCTAAGAAAATATAGCCTATAACATAAGTAATTGTTGCCCTGGCCGGTTTGGCTCAGCGGTTAGAGCGTCGGCCTACGGTCCTGAGAGACCCGGGTTCGGTTCCCGCTAAGGGCACGTACCTCGGTTGCAGTTTGTCCCCGGCCCTGGTCGGTTGTGCGGGTGGCAGCCACTCGATGTGTTCCTTTCACATCGATGTTTCTCTCTCTCTCTCTGTTCCTCTCTCTCCCTCCCACTCTACCTGAACAAAAAATGGAAAAAATGTCCTCGGGTGAGGATTAAAAAAAAAAAAAAAAAAAAAAAAAACATAAGTAATTGTTATTGATTACATACAAGCATATATTTCTTAGGCTTTTCAGGAAGTATCTGTCATCATTTCACCCTAGTGAATGATTCATTTCATAGGAAGGGTTCTCTAGACTTCATTGATGAGAATTTGAGATTTTTCATATACTGAAGAAGTACCTAGTACATTTATAGAGTTATAGAAGAGTAGGAAGAACAGCTTCTTCCTTCAGAGAGCTTCAGAATTTTCAAAAAGATTACAGACTAGAAGTTGTAGAAATTGAAACTAAATTATCCACACAACCTCTGTATGCTTATTAAATTCTAGATGTATTTCTAGCACCAGTGTTTGGCATACAGTAGTTACTCCATAAAAATCTTTTAAATATATAAATAGAGCAGTGTTGTTGCTTTTTTTTTTTATCCTCACCCGAGGACATTTTTCCATTTTTTGTTCAGGTAGAGTGGGAGGGAGAGAGAGGAACAGAGAGAGAGAGAAACATCGATGTGAAGGGACACATCGAGTGGTTGCCACCCGCACAACCGACCAGGGCCGGGGACAAACTGCAACCGAGGTACGTGCCCTTAGCGGGAACTGAACCCGGGTCTCTCAGGACCGCAGGCCGTCGCTCTAACCGCTGAGCCAAACCGGCCAGGGCGTTGTTGCTTTTTAAAATAGAAAATAACTGAATTAAAACTATAATTATTTTGAACAAGTTGAATTCATGTCAAGAATCAGCTTAAAAGAGAATCATCAGAATGGAGCGAAACTTGAAAATTGCTAAGTTATTGGCTCCTTCATGGTAATTTTTTCTATTTTTAGACAAGTTTTTTCACATGACGAAGAACCAGTGCAACACAAGTTTGGATATTTACATCAAGTTCCTTAGAAGCACAACCAAATTGGCACAGTTCCTGAAGGTTGCAGAGGTATACGCCTCTTATTTCTATCCAAGGCTTTTCTGTTTTGTATATTAGTTTAGTATCCAGTATAGCTATCAGCCCCTACCACCACCACCACACAAACACACAGAATTGGTAGTAGTTTTATCTATTTTGTAAACAGTAAAACTAAAAACTAAAAGTAAATACCTCAAATGTACTATCCAGTGCACTTGTGCACAAAAGCAATCTTACAAGGATTTCTGTTTACAGCCATGAGGCTAACCGATCACAAGCTTACCCTCAGCAGAAACAACTCTAAGACTGGGCCAAAATATATATGATGTAAGTCTTTTCAGGTAGAATAGGTCTGTGATCAATGAGAGAAGGAAACATGAAGTAAGCCCACATCTTCCCTGATACTCAAAGGAACCCAAGCAGGATAAATACAAAGAGAATGACACCTAGGCAAGCAATAGTAGAGCTCCTGAAAATAGAAAAAAAAAAGGTGTATTACCTACAGGAGAACAATATAAATAAGAGCTGACTACTTAAAAATTAGAACACATTTGTAAAATATCCAGACAGCAAATACTCAATATCTGGCAAGTTTTGTCTTTTATAGTTTTATCCTTAGGACAAATATACGTTTGTGCTTAAGTGGACAGGGCATACTTTACCCTGATATTTTTCTTGATCTAGATAGGTACCAGCCTAGCAAGGCATTCATGCCCTTGCAGTATTTTCTCTTTTGTGGATACATTGATCTCACAGTTACTTTTTTTTTGGTTTGCATGTTCTGCTGCAATGTGTACTTTCCCCCCTTTTATGTGAATTCAGCAAGTTGGAATTGACAAGAACAACATTCCGTATCTTACTGAGGTCAGTGTTTCTCTCCTATGTATTTAAATAACTCTTCTATCTTTATGTTTGTGTGTTTATTATATTAATCACAATCTAAGACTCCATTCTTTGCCATAAACCTATATATGTATTTTCATTTCTCCATGAATAACATATATGTATATCCCAGCAATTTTCAACCTTTTTCAAAATAATCACTAAAATTCTGTGGTACACTAAAAAATATATTATATTTTTTGCCAATCTGACAAAAAATAGGTAGAATTTTGATTCATTCACACCGGAAGGCTATTGTGTTGGCAGTTGTCATTCTTATATTTGATAATCTAAGGGAAAAGAGGTCAGTGCCCCTGCAGAATAGTCAGGCATTGCATGTTTTAAAAATTCTTTAGCACACCAGTTGAAAATCTCTGGTATATACACATAGACTTAGGTGTTTTGAATAGGTCTGTGAGCTGTTGGTCTTATAAAAAGGCTGTTCCCTTTTGAGTGCTAATGGTGACTCATAGTATAACAACTAGATCATGCTTTTTAAGTGGACAGAATTGATCAGTGGAAACAGCAGAGTATTTGGAATAATAAGCTTAGGTTTGAGGATACCTTGTCTACCTTTCAGAAGTGTAATCTCAAACAACTCATTTCCATTCTCTGTGCCTCAGTTACGCAACTGCAAAATGGGTGTAATACTATTGTCTGTCTCATAGCAGTGTTGTGAAAATCAAACAAACTTAAGTTTTTCCTTCCCTTGAAATTGTTCTTCAGGAATCCTTTACATGGCAATGGGTGTGATGTGAGGTAGAGATGGCAATGCAGCAGGTGTGGGTGAAACGAGGGTTGGGCAACCTGCTCATGCAGCCTGCTTGTGCCTTCTGGACCTGCTTGTGCTCCATCTCAGCTGTACCGTAGGGCTGGCCCAGACAGAACCTGCTACAGTGGTCTTTCCCACTCTGGGCCCCAAACTAATGTGGCAGAATTTTAGAGAACCTAGACTGTTGACCAAAGCAGTTTTCCCTGGTATGGGAACATGTTGTCTCCAGAACCCATAAAGGCCTACCAGGAGTCGTATGTCCTTTTAAATGGTAAAAGGTGCATGATGCCAATACTTTATGTTCTGTTTTGGATGGGATTTCCTGATAGACCCTGGCCACTGAAACCTTAAAATTTGTACTGATGTAGAGCTCCTGAATCTTTATCATCTACCCTGTGGAGCACATGTAACTTTCCAAGGTCTCTACTGTTCTGGCCACTTCTTGCTCTTATGATTTAGTTAACATGATGTAATGGATAGAAGTGGATCAACATGATTATTTGAGGGGTAACTAAATGGTCTAGACTTCTTCTGACCATATTATGATAGAGGATTGAGAAGAGTGAACACAGCTTGGGTCAAAACTGCAAATATATATATATATATATATATATATATATATATATATATATATATTTGTCCATTCCATATGCCTGCTAATTCTTTCTCACCCACACTTTTGATAGCAATGGAAAGCAGAAAATTCACCAAACTCATAGCTACCTACCATGTACTTGAGACTATGTTAACTCATCTCTACCAAAGAAACTGTAGTGTCTGGCACCATGGCTGCAATTGAGTTACTACTTGATTGATTATACTATAGTTTGTCATTCTCCAGGGCTCAACTACTTTGGGGGTTGGGAATACTGGTGAATTACATGGAGATATGATAGAGATCATCATCCCTGCATCCTTTTTACCTTTAAGATTGGCACTAAGTTCTGCCATAATTCTGCCATCATCCTGGGAGGCAGTCTTGTTTTTTTAATCCTCAACTGAGTGGAGATTATCTATCTATCTATCTATCTATCTATCTATCTATCTATCTATCTATCTATCTATTGTTATAGATATACATCTATATCTATCTATCTATCTATATCTATATCTATATCTATATCTATATCTATATCTATATCTATATCTATATCTATATCTATATCTATATATGATTTCAGAGAGAGGAAGGGAGAGGGAGAGAAACATTGATGAGAAAGAAACATCGATCAGCTGCCTTCTGCATGCCCCCTACTGGGGATCGAGCCCAAACCTGGCATGTGCTCTGACCAGGAATCGACCCAGTGACCTCCTGGTGCATGGGATGACGCTCAACCAACAAAGCCCCTCTGGCCAGGATTTTATTATTTTTACTGATTTTATATAGAGAGAGGAAGGGTGAGGGTGAGAGAGAGAAACATTAATGTGAGAGAGAAACATCAATCAGTTGCCTCCTGTATATACCCTGACTGGGGATTGAACTCACAACCTGGGTATGTTCCCTGACCGGGAATCAAATCCACAACCTTTAGGTGTACAGGACAATGCACCAACCAACTGAGCCACACTGGCCTGGGCAAGGTGGTCTTGTTTTTTTTCTTTTTCCAAATAAGAGCCATTTATTAGCTGGCTGGAGTCTGATTCCGAACACCCCTGTGACAGTCTTTGGAATCAGCCGTCTTGTGTTTTTTTTTTTTAAATCCTCACCTGAGGATATTTTTCTATTTATCTTCAGATAGAGTGGGAGGGAGGGAAGGAGGGAGACAGAAACATCGATGTGATAGGGACACATTGACTGGTTGCCTCCCGCACGACCCTGACCAGGGCGGGGGATGAACTGCAACCTAGGTAGGTGCCCTTGGCCAGAATCGAACTCTTGACTTGTTGGTCCGTGGGCCAACGCTCTAACTGCTAAGCCAAACCGGCTAGGGTGGTGGTTTTGTTTTTTTATGTGCTACTATGCCTGGAGGGCAGATGGAAGCTGTTTCAGAAGCATGTCTCTAGCTGGGCTATGCTGTGACTTAAGTTTAGTGAGAGTCTTAGAGGCCAGGAGGGGGATGGAGACAGATCCTGGTGGGGCATGTAACTTGTGGGGTATCATCTTCAACAAGGAGGGAGAAGGAGGACAACTCTTTAGGCTCAGAGGTTTCTAGGGAATCTGGAGACTCAGGACCTCCCAGCAGCTCTACCCATCCCATAAGTCAGGGCCTTTACTCTTTTTCCAACCGGGTCCCTGGCTCTAGTGTGGCAGACCAGCCTTAGTGGGGACTGGAAGAATGTAGACTATTCATTCATACAGTTCCTGGCTCAGGTGGTAGTCATATGTATGGGAAGAATCCTGTGAAGGGAGAGAGCGATACTAGATTGAGGTCTCCTAGGGAATGAGAGGCTATTGGATCCAGGACACAAGTGGAAGCAGTGGCCTCAAATAAAAGACTATGGAAGGCAAGGAGGGGAGGATGGTTGCAGATGCAAATAAATGTTAGGCTTGGTTGCAGAGAAGGAAAGAGTTTCTGTCTGATATCTTCTCATAAATATATATACCTCTCAGATATATACAGCGCAAACATTCCTCAAGTACAGATAAGGGACATTTGCATAAACATTGAGCCCCACAGAGTGGTCCACAGTGGGAACCCCTATTAGGTGAAATAAAGCATGGGTTCCTGAATGAGAAGTCAGATAACCAAACAGAGAGACAATGAGAATATCTGGGTTAGTAGAACAGAAGATGGGATTTCATTGCCCAAAGGCACCACAACAAGTGGATTTCAAGAAATTAATTTACAAACACATGCGTAACCCCTACCAGGAGGAAGCTGCTGTAATGAATGAGACAGAGTCCCAGCCTCTGAGTTGCTGAAAAAGACAGAACAAAGACTACAAAAGTATAATTGGATATCTCTCAAAATATAGTTCTCTCATTTTTCTCCACATTGAGCTCAGATCCTTAAGGCAGGTGGGAAGGGGTTGTTTGCTGAGAACCACAGGTCAGCCATCATGGGGGTCACAGGTGAGCATTACCTGACCTGGGCTTGGCCTCCTTCAGTGCTTAGCATCTACAGTTGGAGCTCTAGGAGGATATTTGACTGGAGGAGCCCCAGGATGGAGGGCCACATTTCCCAGTGGGCCACCCTCTCTCCTTCTTACCCTAGCTCTGGTCTCTAGGACCCCTGAATCAAAAGGTAGATGGCACTCTGGCCGGTTTGGCTCAGCAGTTAGAGCATCGGCCTGCAGTCCAGAGAGACTTGGGTTCGGTTCCCGCTAAGGACATGTACCTCGGTTGCAGTTTGCCCCCGGCCCTGGCTGGTCATGCGGGTGGCAGCCACTCGATGTGTCCCTTTCACGTTGATGTTTCTCTCTCTCTCTCTCTTCCTCTTTCTCCCTCCCACTCTATCTTAACAAAAAAGTGGAAAAATGTCCTGGGGTGAGGATAAAAAAAAAAAAAAAAGGTAGATGGCTGTGGGAAAGGCTGCAGAAGACAGATGAGGGTCATTTACTGGTAGAGCTTTCCTTTCTTTCTTTTTAATCCTCACCTGAGGATATTTTTCCATTTTTCTTCAGATAGAATGAGAAGGAGGGAGAGAGAAACATTGGTGTGAGAGAGACACATCAACAGGTTGCCTCCTGCATGACCCTGACCAGGGCTGGGGACAAACCTAAACCGAGGTACATGCCCTTGACGGAAATTGAACCTGTGATTCATTGGTCCACCGGCTGACGCTCTACACTGAGCCAAATGGGCCAAGACCTTTTTTTTTAATCCACACCCAAGGATATATTTTTTTGTTTGTTTATCTTTATATAGAGTGGGAGAGAGGGAGAGAGAAAAAGAGAGAGAGAGAGAGAGAGAGAGAGAGAGAGAGAGAGAGAGAGATTGGCTGCCTCCCATATGCGGGACCAAACTGCAACCAAGGTATGTGCCCTTGACTGAATCAAACTCGTGACATTTTGGTCTGCGGGCTCCAACCACTAAGCCAAACAGGGCAGGGCTGGAAGAGCTTTCTTATCAGTACACTGGCCTCCGGCTCTCAGCCAGTACAAAAAGTCATTTGTCATGGCCTCAGGTTGGCAGAGCTGCTCCTGCTACGTGCTTTCTCAGGCGTCCTGGAAACCTTGGAATGTAGTGAAATGCAGGGCTCTGTGGGAGGGGAGGGAGCCTAGAGGGGCGAGAATTAAGTCAGCCTCATCTTTGCTCCTTTCGTTTGGTCTCTGAGAGAAGTCTACTCAAAACAATGCACAGATTCAAGGAGCATTTTCAGCCAGTCTGCTGCTAGATCTCTCAAAGGGTGTTAAGATCTTCCTCTGTGACTTTACAGTGGCCAGTGTCTCCTTGTGATTCCAACAGTCTTTATGTGAATGGATGCTGTTAGGTGCAGGCTCACCATTTTAAGGCTCACTCAACCTCTTTTGTTTTCTTAGGAGCCAATCTCCCAGGTTTCCTCAGCTAATCTTTTCCTCCTTGGATTTGACATTGACATTGTCTGGGGATCACAGAACCTCCTTCCATGAGCAGCTGTCTGTGTCCATCCCTCTCTTTTTGACCATTCCATGCAGTTCATGTTGGGTGTGACTCCTGGAAACTCAAATTGCAGGGTCTGCTCTCTCTACAATCCGATGAGTTTTTATTTTTCACTAGAATAGTTCAAACATACATCTCTGGGCCGCACCCCTTATCAAAACTCTAGGAGCACAAACTTGGGGACCTCCTCAGGTTTCACCTTGATGTGAACCTGGATGCATTTTCCCAGCTTCACCACAGAGTTTCATGGTTTGGGTGGGTGGAGGGTAATGATGTGCCCCACAAAAGAGGTTTTATGGCCTCATAGCTACCTTTTTATTGTAATGTACCTTTTTTTAAAAAAGGGTTCAATATTTATTAATGCTGATGGTTCATTTTTAAAGAATTTATCATTTCAGCTTCAATATTCAGCTTCAGCATAAAGTTCATTTTATTCTGCATATAGACTCCTACACTCTCTGCTCAGATAAATTACTACATATTCCAGAGTCTGGGGCTGTGATCAATGAAAAACCACAGTAAACTCCTAAGCAGTAATAGATATTCTGCATGGTTTGAAATGGTTGAAAGATAATTTTTTGTTGTTATTAATGCTCACCGGGGGATATTTTTTCCATTGATTTTTAGAGAGAGCAGAAGGGAGGGAGGGAGAGAGAGACAGACAGACAAAGTCATATATCAATTGGTTGCCTCCCACATGCACCCCAACTGGGGCTGGGGATCAAACCTGTAACCCAGGTATGTGCCCTTGACCAGGAATCAAATCTGTAACCCTTCAGTGCATGGGTCAGTGCTGTAACCACTGAGCAACACCAGCCAAGGCAAAGGATACTTTTTTTTTAAGGTTAAGAATCAAAGTATTGTAATTGAAGAACTTACAAATCTAGCAGCAGTGGCTTCTCAAGGTTTCTGATGTTGACTTCAAGGACCATTTAAGGTAAACTTGCCTCTCCCAGTCCTTCCTTGCTCTCCCTGCCCACAGCTATGTAAACAATTCCTTCATTAAACCCTCCTCCAACTGACATTTCATTGGTCACCCATGTCTGTCTTTGTCACAACACCATCATTCCATCATCTCACTTTCCCAGTCTGCTGCCATATATTCTGCCCCCTGCTGTTTGTTTTACACAATGCAACCCTAATGCTGATCTGATAGCTTGCACAGATCTGATTGTTTCACCCTTCACTTAAAAGCCCTCCAGTGGTTACCCAGTATTCTTAAGATAAAGTCCAAACTCCCCAACATTGCCTTTAATTTAAGGTCTTGCATTGCCTAATCCCTACCTAGTCTCCAGCTTCATCTCACTCACACTCCCCTTTGCTCTCTCTTTCTCTGCTCTAACAACATCATTCATCTTCGCTCTGGTCTCTGTCATATGCCCTTCCTAGGGCCTTTTCACAGGTTGTTCTCCTGCCTACAATGCTCATTCCTCTTACTATCATCCTTATCTCTTAGATGTCTTTCATATCTCAGCTTAACTGCTGCTTTCTTCAGAAGGGCTTGGTTCCCTGACCTCCCTGATTTAGTCAGATTCTTCTACTTAAACACTGAGTTTCATGTATCTCTTTTTCATAGTACTTTTCACAACTTAGATTTTATATTTATTCGTGTGATTATTTGATTTCTCTCCACCCCCCAGACCTGTAGACTGGAGCTTCCCAGATCATGAAGCCTGGGAACAGGTTGTTTTTGCATGGAGCTGTAACCCTAGTGCCTTGTATACTGTTTACCCACATTTTTTTCCTGAAGAGTGACTGATTGGATCAGGAAAGAGATGGTAGGATATGTAGAACCCTGGGGGAGAATCGATCTTATGTAAGAAGCCCACTTTTCCATTTTTAATGGGAATGGAGAGTGAAAAGATGCATCCACATTCAGTCAACAAATATTATTAATTAAGTGCTTGGCACATTTACTTGGCACTTAAGATTCATCAGTGAAAAGTGTTTGCGAAGGTTTATATTCTGTTGTCAGGAAACAAACAATAAACATACAAAGGAAGAAAATTAGCCCTGGCCGGTTAGCTCAGTGGTTAGAGCATTGGCCTGAAGACCAAAGATCATGGGTTTGATCCCCAGCCCTGCTCAGGGTTATGCAGAAGGCAACCAATCGATGTGCCTCTCTCACATCAATGTTTCTCTCTCTCTTCCTCCCTCCCTTCCACTCTCTCTAAAAATCAATGGAAAAATATTCTCAGGTGAGGATTAATAAAAAAAAATGAAAGAAAGAAAGAAACCTATAATTTCAGTAAAGATAAGTGCTGTGAAGAAAAATAAAACATAGTGAGGGTAAAGAAGTACTGTTTTATATAAGGTAGTTAAGAAAATCTCCTTTGAGGGGGTGACATTTCAGCAGAGGCCACAAAAACATGTTTGAATTTGCTAATATGAGTGAGATTCTCTCTCTCTTTTTTCTTTCTCTAGTTCTGTTTCTTTCTCCCCACCCCTTTCTTCCTCTTTTCCTTAATGTTTTATTTAAATTTATTTTATGATCTGGTGATTCATGAAGGAACCACAAATAATGATTTCAAGCCCAATGTCTTCTCCAAAGAGGATAGGTCTTTTAGCAGTTCTTGAATCATTTTAAGAGACTTTTTTTATTTTGCCTTTGTTTTTAAAGAATGTACGTAAAAGCATAGTTTGAAAATCTGATTTTGTACCAAGAGGTCAATTTTAATAATGAACTTACTTGTAGCAATTATTTAGCTTTAATGAATTTGTTACACAGGTGTCTTAATTTTTGTTCAAAACCTTTTTATGATATAGGAGAGTATGATTTTGCTAAAAATGATGAGAAAATAACTCTTTCATGATAACTTTATTTTTAGGCACCAAGCAGTTTACTTGAAGCATTAAAACAGCATTTAGCTTCCTTGGAAGAGAAAAATGACATTTTTCCTCCTTACAGGTAAGTTAATAAATGTCTGAGCGTGGGTTAATTTTGTTTCCCTCTAAATAATTTCCCTCATTTTAATAACATGAGAGTGACTAAATAAATTATGGGCTTTGAATATGATAGAATACTATGCAGTGATTTTAAATGATAATACAGAATAGTTTTTCAGTCTTTTGTGGGATTCCACATTCTTCGCCAGGGTGATTGCTTCCCAAAGGAATGGCTTTTATTATACTGAGTGATTCTCAAAGTCAGAGGTTGGGACTGAAATAGCCCCCTCTCTTGAAAGATTTGATTTTTTTCCTTGGGGTTCCCCTAGTGAGAATAACTGTTGTAGACAAATATTTAATGGCACAGCAAACTGTTTAGCCACAAAACAGTATACATAATAACATTCAAGGAATATATGTGTACACACACATACACACATACATGTATTCATCTATATATGCATATACATATAAATTGAATAATACAGATTTATATCACTTGAAAATGTTCCCATTAGCTATTTCTGAGTGGAAAATTATGGTTGACTTCAGTTTTCTTTTTTGTATTTTTCAATATTGTCCAAAATTTCTGTAAGAATCCTGTATTATGCATTCATTCCACTTTAGGTTATGTTGATTGTAATTAATTTATATTATCACCTTCTATTAGACAACAGGTTGACAATTTTTTGATTATCTCTTCATCAAAGATAAATGTAAAGTTAGTATATGATTAAATGGATGGGTTGATTGACAGATGGATGAATTAAAGAAATATAGGTTCAGTGGGTAGTATATGTCATTCTATTTATTTTCAAATGTGCCTCATCTTTCTTGTAATCTCTTAAGTCTCCAGCATTCATTGATTCACTCCATTTCAAACAGTTCATTTGTGAAAGTTTCATCAAGCCAAACTTGGTTCTCAGGTAATATTATATTATATGATTATGTCATATAATATGAATATATTGTATGAATGTCAGTAATAATTGAGGACAGGATTAGAATCTTTAATTTTTCCACTGCATAACCACCTGGTATATCTGCTGCCTCTTCCTGAAGCAGTCTTTGACCTAGCAATTTCACTTCTAGGATTTTATCTAATATATATATTCACAGTTATGAAATGATGCACGAACAAGGATGCAACATTGTAATAGCAAAATGACTATCAATAAGGACCTTATTTTTATGTACTGAAGTGGAATGATATCCAAGATGCATTGTTAAATAGAAAATGAGCAAGATGTGAAACAAAGTATAGTATGCTCCATCTTTGTTTTTAAAAACAGAACAAGAGAGAATGTATGTTTATATAATTTCTATATACAAGAAATGAATAAAATACCTTTTCTGCAAACAGAATTTGGTGGCTCATAGAAAGAGATAGGTGGGAGAGTCTTCATTGTATACCATTTTGTATTTTTAAAATTTTGTACATGCAAATAATTACTAATTGAAAGATACATTTTTGCAAAGAAACATACATACACACAGTGTGATACCTTGTAACACTTAACATGTAAGTCCACTGTAATTTCTTAAAGTGTGCTTCATACGTTAGTAGTGTGCTAGATACAGCTTATACTAGCTTACAAGAGCCCATTGCTAAATTTTCAGGAATTGTGCAAGCTGCTTGATGTCACATTAATAATTTGAAATTGGCCATGATGGATATATTACACCACAGGAATGGACAAACATTACAAAACAGGCCTTTTTTTTTTTTTTTTTTCTGGAGAACTGGTTGTTACACATCTACTGGCACATGACTGCACATAATCATCCATATTCTGTTTTGTAATGGGTGATTATTTTTCAACAATGTTACTTGATTCTCTAGACACAAATCTATTAATAATGAACTTTATTATCATGGGGTTTATATGTATCTGAATTAAAGTTTGTTTTTAATTTAATTCAAAGACTTAAAGTGTATCTATTTTAAATGTTGTTTTTATTTTTCTTTTGTGCATATTCTCAATGGCTACACCTGCAATTTCAATGGGTGAGTTTAACCAAAACTACAATGAATTTAAGTACCTTGAGTAAAACCATATGTATAGCAAAAAATGTACATTTCCAAAAGAATGACTACTTTTCTGAGCGCCTAGGTTTGGGAATCACTAGTGCTTACAGATATTGTAAGACGATTAAATGTAGTGGTCGACAAGGATTTAGTCTGCTGTGAATGTGAATCCCAAGTACAGTATAGGGAGAGTAGGGGAACTACTACCACACTACTATAAAGGACTATGGGCCTGATTACCAGCAGACCCAAACTGGCTACCGGTGATCTCCACACATGCTACCCTGAGAACTTAGCCCAGTTTGCCTAAGCCTCATTGCTTGAACCAATTCTGTTGAAAATTCTGTGGCCAGCTGAAATCACCTTTTCTCTTAAATCACTGTGATTTTAAATATTGGCCATAGAACCAGAATGCTTGGGTTCAAATTTAATTCTACCATTCATAGACTTTGTGACTTTTGGCAGATTACTTAACTTTACTGTGTCTCAGTTTCTTTGACTTCATTAGGCTATTATCAGTATAAATGAGTCAATACATGTAGAGTGCTTAGAACAGGACTGGGCCCATGTGTTACTTAGAAATGCATTTTAAAATTATATGTATATAGGGATCTCCTGATTACCTATTTTGTTATTGAATTCTAGCTTACTTGCACTATATCAGAGAACCTTCTCTGTATAATTTCAGTCCTTTGGAATTTGTTGATACATGGCCCGGAATATAATCACTTTTTTTTTCATAGAAGTTTCATGTGCACTTAAAAACTATCCTGTCATTGTTAGGTACAGTGTCAATTAGGTCAAGGTTGCTTATTGTGTTCAAATCCTCTATATTGTAATTGATTATTTTGTCTATTTGTTCTTACAATTACTAAGAAAGGTGTGTTAATATTTCCCCTATTTGATTTTGAATTCCTTTAAGTAATTAGGTAATACAAATCATGTTTTTGTACCCACCAATCACTAAAATCACTCTTGTCAAAATTCAGTGACCTCCATGTTTCAATATCCCATGGTAATTTCTCAGTCTTCCTGTTACTGGGATGCCTCAACAGCATTGGACATAGTTCATCACTCCCTCTTCTGTGATCCATTTTCTTCAGTTTGCCTCTTGGTTTTCTTATCAAACTCATGGTTCCTTTTGATAAAGACTTTTTTTTCACTGATTCATCCTATTTCTCTTCTTTATCAATACATATTCATTTCCTAGATGACCTCATCCAGGCTTATGGCCTTAAATACCATTTACATGGTAAGAACTCCCAAATTGGTATCTCCAGCTACAGCCATTCCTCCTGAACTCCAGAATTGTATTTATTCAATGGTTTCACTTGAATGTGTGATAGGCGTTCAAAACTCAATATGTCCCAAACTAATTTCTTGATACCCTATCCCAAACTTGCTTTTTCCATGGGTTTCCCCACTCAGTTAATGGCAAATAGCAATTCAATTCTTCTAGTTGCTCAGGCTGAAATCTTTGGAGTTCCTTGACTCTTTTCTTTCGGTCACACCCCACATCTAATCCATCAGGGAATCTGTTGACTTTACCTTAAAAACATATTCAAAAGTTGACCACTTCTCACTGCCACCCTAGTCCAGGTTACCATTATCTCTTAACCTGGACAAGAGCTTTCTTTTTTTTTTAAATTTTTTAATTTATTTTTTTGTTACGGATGTTTCTCCTTTTTTACCCCATTGGCACCCCCCTAAGAGCTTTCTAACTACATCACAGCTTCTGCCTTTGTTCCCTAAAGTCCATTCTTTTTCTTTCCCCTCTTTTTTCTTTTTTATTATGTATTGGTTTCAGGGGTACAGTTTAGTGGTTAGACCATCATATACTCTACAGTGTTCCCCTTCATCTTTCCAGATTTCTAACAACCCAACGCAGCATACATAGTTATCACAATATTATTCACTATATTTCCTAGGCTTTACTTACATCCTGTAACTGTTTTGTAGCTACCAAATTGTGCTTCTTAGTCCCTTCATCTCTTTCACCCAGTGCTCCAACCCCTGCTCCCCTCTGGCAACCACCTGTTCTATCTTTGAGTCTGTTTGAATTTTGCTTGTTTAATTTGTTCTTTAGATTCCACATGTAAGTGAAATCATATGCTATTTGTCTTTCTCTGACTGACTTGTTTCACTGAACATAATGTCCTCTAGGTTCATTCAAGCTGTTGCAAATGGTAAGATTTCATTCTTTTTTTTTTCTTTATTGATTTTAGAAAGAGAGGAAGGGGGAGGGAGAGAGAGATAGAAACATCAATGAGAGAGAACATCGATTGACCGTCTCCTGCATACCCCCCACTGGGGATTGGGCCCACAACCCAGGCATGTTCCCTGACCAGGAATCGAACCAGCGACCTCTTGGTGCATGGGTCGACACTCAACCACTGAGCCACACCAGCTGTGCAAGATTTCTTTTTATGGCTGAGTAATATTCCATTGTGTATGTACCACAACTTTTTTATCCACTCATCTATTGATAGGCATTTAGGTTGCTTCTATAGCTTGGCTATGGCAAGTAATGCTGCAGTGAACATAGGGGTACATATATTCTTTCAAATTAGTGTTTTGCATTTCTTCAGGTAAATCCCCAGAAGTGGAACTACTGGGCAAAAAGTGAGGTCCATTTTTAATCTTTTGAGGAAACTCCATACTGTTTTCCATTCCTTATATAACATTCAGAGTAACCTCATTAAAATACAAGTCAAATAGATGTTCTCCTCTGTTCATATCCCTCCAACACCTTTCCCATCTCAGGGAAGTTAACCTGAGATAGTGGTCACAGAATAAAAGCCAAAATCTTTTTTTTTTTTTTTTTTAAAAGGTCCTCCGTTGCCTTTCTGACTTCTTTGATCATTCTGACTTTAGATTTATTGTCCTCCACACTATTCTTTAAACACACCAAGCACGCTGCTTCCTCAGGGCCTTTGTTCATGCTATTCCTTCTGCTGGATTTACATGATTCAGATTTCACATCCTTCAGTTCTTTACTTAAAATCTCCTTTCTCAGTGAGCCTTTTCTACCTAAAACTTAAGTATACCCACCCTCCACCAGCATATCATACCTCTTTCCCTGGTATTTTTTCTTTAGCATTTATTACAATCTAACATATTAAATGCTTTATTTGTATTGGTTATTTTCTGTCTCCAGTAGAATGTAAACTACAGGAAGGCAGGGATTTTTATCTTTTTTTTATTCACTGCTGTATCTTTAGCACCTAGTATAGGGTCTGGCACATAACAGGTGCTCAATTAAAATTTATTTAATGAATAATTTAACATTTCTTTATCTATACTCACTAAACTAATAATTTGAGGTCCAGTTAGTTTATAATGGGAAGGTACATATAAGTAATTACTGTATTGATATAAATTTGGTTTAGAGTTTCATCTAATTCTGTCTTTTATTTTCAGATTATTTTGTCTACATGATATATTACAATTGACATTACCTTCATAAGCCCACAAACCTGTTGAAGCCAGACAACATGGAGGAACAATCATAGGAAACAACCTGGACGACTCACTTGCTAGCCTTGTAGAAAGTACACATCAACTTTTAAATTAATTTTATATGTATATATATTTTTTAAAATTCATTT